AAATCTAAGACCCAAGCCGTGCAGCAGGACCGAGAGAACGGCAACTGGGACCCTTTAAAGGGCCTACAAATTCGGATACTTGCAAGCCGGGGAAACGAGGCGGTGACTGGGTCGCGGGGAAGCGGAAGCCCGATTGGTGTGACCGCGGGGACGTGGGAGTGGCCGAACGAGGCGGTCCTCACTGCCTGGTAGCCCATAAATTCTGCCCCTGCCCGGAAATTCTGACCCTGAAGGCCCGCACCCGCCAGCCAATCAGCTTGAAGAGTAGGCGCGTCTCCGCTCCCTTAAGCCTGCTCCCCTTGGTGGGGTCTTGTGATTCGGCGCCTGGGTAGGTGTCAAGTCTTGGCTGCAGAGGCTTGGTCGCTGTTGTTATTGGGTGTCCCAGCCTGCATTGGAGAAACCCCAGGTTCAAAAGTCACCCCCCGGTCCTTTAACTGAAGTATGCAGTGATTATCTGCTCTACCCTTCACTCTCACTCACCCATTCAAACCCACCCAGACCCTTTGTGAGCTCTATGACCCCCAGCTCTAAATGCTATTTTTCACATATTACAGACAAGGATCTAATTAATGCACAACAGTGGAGTGACTTGCCTAATGTCACTCAGCTAAATATTTGGGATTCCGTGTCTCAGCTCTAGTCCCGACAGGGATGCTACTAAAGGTGCCAGGCAGGACCGTTTCTAGGCTTCAAGCCTATCCAGGACAGCCTCCCTTGGAAGACTTGGAGGACCCAGGCTAGGCCCTAGAGTAGGAGGAGAGGGGAAATGGGGTGTCCTTTCTCAGCTCATAAAATTTCTCTGGAGTGGGGCAGGGTAGTGGAGGAACTGTGTCCTTCACCTCATTTATCCCCATAGAGGGGTGGTAGGGTCAATGCCCCTGTCCCCCTTCTTCCCCTGGGGCAACCTTTAACCTTCCACCAAACATGGGCAAGGCTGCCTGCTCTCACGCATTCTCCCCTGAGTTGTCTAAGCCTCAGAGAAGCTGATTATGGAGCGCAGAGCGCCTCTGGCCACATTGTGTTGGCTGCTCCTGCTGCCATCTAGCAGCCACCAGGGACAGGACCTGAGACAATTCCCCCAACCCAAGTGCAGGAGTGGGACAGGTATTCAGCCCATGTGTGTGTTTAAGTGAGCTACACTTTGGCTCTGCCCTCTTCCTTTCTTTCCTCCTCTGGCTCTGCAGCAGGAGGCCTCTCCATCTGTCTCTGGCATGTCCTTATTCCAGCTTGTTTATTTTCTAGCTCTGATAGAGGATCTAGGACCTTCCTGCTGTGCACCTCAGCAATGACTCAGGATAAAAGCCTATCTCCATCATAACCTTCGATCTCACCAAGATCACTAAGTATGGGGTTGTTCCAGTCCCTTGACCTTGGTATTAGTTCCCTGATCCTACACTCTATCAGCTTTTCTCTTTTCTCTGTCTCCCTGTTTCTCTCTCTTTCTCTCTCTTAACTCCACTTCCCCAAAACCCACATCTACCCTTAAAAGGCACACTCCATACACAGTCCCTTCTGTCATTCCAGAACCTCTTCTTCCTTTGAGTTTCAAACCTGGGATCCAGAAGGAGTGATTTTTTTATGGTGATATCAACCCAAAGGATGACTTGTTTGTGCTGGGACTTCAGGATGGCAGCCCTGAGATCCAACTACACAATCATTGGGCCCAGCTTATAGTGGACACTGGACCCTGGCCTGGATGATGGGAGGTGGCACCAGATAAGCCAGATCTGGTCTTAAGGGAAGGGTGTCTTGAGCTGGTCTGAGGAAGGAAAACAGAATCAAGTTATTGGGCATCCCAACACCATTGCCTCTCATTTAATCTGTATGAAACCCCCATGAAGTTACTATTCTCCCCATTTTTTCAGAGGGGAATTCTGAGGCTCAGTCAGTATAAAAGTGACAAGTCCTAAGTGAGCCAAGGATGCTAGCTGATTCTCAAGTGCATGTTCTTTCCACTATACCGCTACCTCTGAAGAAAGTGGTGGAGGCAGCCCCCAGGAGTCTCTGATTTTGCTTTTCTCCTCCTTTGTGTAGATAGAAGTAAAGATCCCTGGAGACTCAGTGCTGCTGGTGGTGGATAGGGAGGAAGCGCTGTGTCTGAGACAGATCTTTGGGCCTCTGGCCGAAAAACTCTAGCCCATCATGAAGGTTGCACTGGGCGTGCTGCTGTTCCCCCTCTCCAACTTCCAGTAGCCGGTAACTGCATCACAGGGTAGGAACCATGACCAAAGTTGGTAAAGCATTGCTGGCTGGTTAGGTGGCCATGGGAGTCCACGCTTTTGAGGAGAGGAGATTGGATGAAAGGTACATGGGGGAGGCCAAATACTTGTGTCTTGAGGGAGAATAAACTGAGAGTAGGGAGGCTGAGACTGGGCTCAGATGTCTCAATTCCAAAATCCCTGCATCTTCCCTTCCCCCCGCCCCCACTGGTTCCAGCTGGTCCCTGCCCTGGATACCAACTTGTGCAGGGATAACTAGTTGGACCAACAGGCCCGAACCTCAGTGTCTGCCCCCACTAGCCTCAGAAGCGATGCTGTAGAGTCCCAGCCTAGGATATTCTTCCCTTTTAGGACTTATGCAGAATTCTATCTCCAAAGTAAAAGCCACTTTTTCCCCTCTATGGATAGCTCTGCGTCTGCCTTCCTCCATCTCCTTCTACCACTAGCCCCCTCCCTCCATGAATCTTCAGCATTGAGGCCTCAGGAGGATCATTTCTCCCCCCAGACATTCCCCAGCCTCATGCAGAGCCCTGGGCCTTATCTCTGGACCTAAGACTCCAGCTGGCAGCAGGCTCTGGCTACCTCCTTGCCCTTAGGACCCCAGAAAACCCTTGTTGACTTAGCCTCCACCTCCAAAATCAAGTAAGAGGGGACACTGCTTATATTCAGTGGCACCTGGGAGCAGCAGAAAAAAAAGGGAACTCCAAAATGTCAATATTAGGAAAGCTTAAGGGTGGGAATAGGTGGCCAGGGACACATCTTGAAGCTGACCACAGCAAGCAAACAGGTTTTATTTAGATTGTATATTTACTTGGGGATGGATATGGCTTTATAGAGGGTCAAGCCAGGAGAGCCGAGGCAGGATTTAAGAGGTGGAAATAGCCAATAGATAGAAGGTGTGGGGCTAAGAGGCAGACTTAAGGCAGCTAGGAGTGGGGCTACAAGAAGTAGATGTGGTTCATTCTTTCCTTCTCCGCTTATGTCCCTGTCCCACACACTCTGCAGAAGATGGTTCTCTCTTCTGGGTTAGGGCCAGGGCTGAATCTGCCACTGGTCTTGGAATTCCCTCTTCAGCTGAAGCTGGCTGTGTCCAGGGTGGCCTTGAGCCAGGTGCTGAAGAAGGAGTTCCTTGCTCTGTCTCCTGTGGGCCTTAACCTCTGGGCCCACCCACAAGGGCATCTCTTCCTGGGGGCTTTGCCAAGTAAGAGAGAGTGAAGTTTAAGTTCCTCAGGACACCATTGGAAATAACTAAAGGGAGAGAAGATAAGAAAGGGCTCATTTTTAGGGGAAAGAAACCTCTGAGAAGGCAGAATAAAAGGCTACAAGAGTGAGGATAGAGGGCAGTAGGAGTAAGTGCTTTAAAAAATTTAGTTTTGGAGAAAGGGGGGTTGGGGAGGAGCTTCTGGATCCAGACCACCTTAATACCCTAACACCTTGCCTGCTCCATGCCACCTCCCTCTAGGAGAGGTCTCTTATGCCTCATTTTGCTTGGATGACTTTGGGCACAAGACCAGAGGCTAGACACAGACTGGTCTTGAGCAGAAGCCAGGACATCTGGACTCACAGCTGTCCCCAGAGCCCAGGCAATGGCACCCATTAAATCCCCACCTAAGAATCCCCTTTGAATGTCACTTATTTATTTATCAACAACTATTTATTGCACATTTGCAAGGTACCAGTCATGGTGCCGAGCGTTGAGTTGTGTTGATGTGCAAAAGCAACCCTCTGGTTTCTGTTCTCTTGGTACTCATAGTCTCCTGGGGGAGGCAGGCACTCATCAAAGACTGACAAGTACATAATTGGAAATTCTGATAATGCCATAAAGCAGCAGGCAGGGAGTTGAAAAGGCTTGGAGACTAAGAGCCTTAACCTAGACTGGGAGTCAAAGAAAGCTTTCTGAGGAAGCAGTGACTTTTCAAGCTGAGATGCCAAAAACAGCACTCAGACAAACACTAGATATAGGTCACTTTCTGGAAGCTAGGAGCCCATTTCCTTCCCCAGCATATACTTATTTTCTCTGAGACTTTAGCTTCTTCCCTCTGAGGCTGGTTCTGAGGGGTCAGGAAGAAAGGGAAGAGATGAAATTCTGTTGTCCTTTTGACTGACCACTGCTGTGCAAGGAAGGAGCAGCAGGGGGCATGAGAGGGTCATAGAAAGTAGGGAGCAGGGGTTCTGGGAAAAGGGAGGCAAGCAGAGGGAGAAAGCAGCCTCTGTCTCTCCTCATCTTGCTGCATTCTGGCTTGTGGTGGTCACAGCTGGGAAAAGCAGACAGATTCAGGAGTATCTCTGCCTCAAAGAATATGGCGATTCAGCCCTTAGGCCCCAGACCTCTGGAGAATCCTGGTGTTTCAGCTCCTCTTGGGGGCACCCTCCTGCCTCAACCCCCAGCTCCCTGGGAAATTGTTATGCCCAGTCTTCAGCCCCTTTGGGAATCCTTGTGTCCTGGCCCAAAGCTCCCAGCCTCCTTGGGAACCCTGGGACCTCAGCTCTCAGTCTCCATCTCTCAGTCCTCCTCCCTCTCATGAACTGTTAACCTATTCCCCATCTCCAGATGCCATGGAATCCCAGTATCCCAGCCTCCTAGCTTCTCACAAAGATCTTCCTACCGGTAACCCAGGCCACACCTGCTGTCCCTTTCTGGAGGACCTAAATGACCCAGGGTAAGGAGTCTCCAGGAGAGTCTCTAGGGCAGAAAACTCAAATCCTAGGTCCCTCCTAATCCTGAGTTTGCAGAGTCCATGGATGCCTCCACCAGCTGCAGTGTTTTGTAGGAGAGTCCTCAGCAAGGGACCCCAAGTCCCTTGGCAGTGTTGGACATGTCCATTCAACTGAAGTTTATTGACTACCTCCTGTGTATCAGGTGCTGTTTCAGACACTGAGGATTCATTGATGACAAAGATAGACACAATCTCTGTTCTTATGAAGCTTATAACATAGGGCAGGGGGCAGCCAGACAGCCCATAAACAAGAGAAATAAATAAGCAAGATTATTTCAGATAATAGTTAGCTCTATGAAGGGAATAAAATCTGGTAATATAATAGGGGGTAGTAGAGGAGGGACAACATTAGCTGCGCAGATAAGGAAGGCCTCTCTGAGGCAGCGTCACTTGAGCAAAAACCTGAATAATAATAATAATAATAATAAAACAATCCCGTGGGAGCCTCCAGTGTGAGCCAGTGGGTAGAGAGGTTAAAGGGCCTGGACACACCTGAGTCCCCACTAAGGGGGTTGTTTTGAACAACAACTTCCTGACTTTGTGACCTTGAGGAATATCCTAGGGGCTGGCTTTTCTCTCTTCCCTCTATTCCATCCTGTCCAGGACACAATGCCTCCAACCTCCCTTTCTTTGGCCTGCCCTAGATTCTAAGATTCCTGATTACGAACCAGAGCTGTCTACACTCTTTTATTAGGACTGACTTTGCTTTGACATAGACTCTGCCAGGCCCCTACCAAGGGCACCTACAATGCCTGCCCAGTGTCCCCTGCCTCTCCCATACTCCTAAAAACCTTTCCGGAGCTTGGCAACATAACCTGCAGTCTCCAGGCTTGGTCTACCCACTTACTTCACCCACTTTGCTGCTTCTCTCTTCCCTCCCTCCTTCCTTCTTTCCTTCCCTTCCTCCCTCTTTTTCTCCCTCTCTCTCTCCCTCTCTTTTTCTTTTTTCAACTAACGTTTACTGGCTGCTAACAATATGCCAAGCACTGTGTTAGGTAGTCCACAGGGACTCCAAAGATGAATAAGACTAGGTCCTGGCAGAGACATAGACATGTAAAATGTTTTAGTAGAGATCTCCATGTAGTGCCAGGGAACCTCATTGCAGTTCCACCAGTATTATCAAAGAGGTAAGTTTTTAGAAGTATGAACTTGAAAAAATGACTAAACCGCTTTAAATTTCAGTTTCTCCATCTGCAAAATGGGGAAGTTACCTTGCTTATAACCTTGCTCTGAGGATTTGATGACATCATGTAGGTCAAATGCCTAGCACAGTGCTTGGCATAGAGAAAGTACTTAATATACGAGAGATGTTGCTCTTGTCGATATCATTAACTTCATGCATATATTTCTTGAAATATAAGTCTGAGCCTGTAGGTTTATAAAAGATGAGGAAGAGTGTATTATGTGGCTGAATCAGGGGCAGGCTGAGATGGAAGGAAGGAAGACTGGGGATGCTTCTGGAGCTACATGGTCAAAGAACTTGTATGTCCTACTGAGAAATTGGAGCTTGAACTGGTCAGTGGAGGAATATCAGTTTTTCTTTCCTTTCCTATTTATTTATTTTTCAAAATTGTGGTAAAATATGCATACATAAAATTTACCATCTTAACCATTTTTAACAGTACAGTTCAGTGGCATTAAGTATATTCACAGTGTTGTACAACTTTTACCACCATCCATCTCCAGAACTCTTCGTTTTGAAACACTGAAACTCTGTACCCATTAAATTATAACCCCGCCCTCCATATCCTCTCCTCCCATATCTGTGTTTCAGAACTCTCTTCTTTTCTTGTTTCTTTCTCTATAAAGACCTATGTTGTCAGGAACCCAGACGGCTGGGTCCCTGGGATTGTGTGAATTGTTGGGAGAAGGATCAAGGAATATAGACTTCATGACTGGATCTTGATATGGAGGAGGGGGCATGGGGGCTCTTATTCCCTTCCTCCTTTCTGGAGATGCTGGAGGGAGGGCTGGGTTCCAGGAAGAGCTTGGAAGTTTGTAATGACTCTTTGCCCTCCTATCCCTTTCTCAGCTTTTTCCCTATGAACACCAGTAGGACAATTAGTAGAGTGTTCCCTCCTTTCCTATCCTCTACCCTCCTCATGCTGAGACAAAAGGAGAAGGCAAAGACAGGAGCAACAGGTATCTTACCTTTACTAGAACCCCCTAAATGCACAGAAGATATTCAATCATCCTTTCCCAAGCGAGCCTGGGTACAGGACAGAGACAGAGCTAGCAGTCTGAAGGCCATCCTTAGGCCTGTGTTAGCCAAACAGTGTGTGTCGAATATAGGGTCCAGGTCTCATCTCTCCAGATCGAGTCTGTCCCATTTTCATGCTCCTTGCTTGGTGAAGGAAAGGACAGTAGTATTCCTGAGGTTTCTTGCGGGAGTCATTCCATATTTATGCCCAATTCAGCAACCAGGAATTTTCTTCAGTATCTGTGGATTGCTTGGGTACAGAGGATATATACAAAGTATAAGACAAAGGCCTCCTTTCAAAGATGTTACAGTCTGATTGAAAAGATAAAATACACATAAGAGTTTTCAGCTCAAGAAGATCCTGAGCATAAGCCTTGGTTCCTTTCTTTCTGTCATCTCCATTGTTCATATCACTATACTTCCAAAATAGAGCCTGAACTCATCCTCCTGTCTCCATCTGCAAACTTGCTACCCTGGTCTAAGCGATCCATATCTTCTGCCTGGACTGCTGGTCTTCCTAACTAGTCTCCTTTGCTTCCCGTGGTGATTTTCATTCAATTTAATCATGTTACTCTCCTGCTTAAAATACCAGAATTGCTTCTGTGATGGCTGGATAAAAATCCAAACTATTCTTTTGGCTCACAAGGACCTGTATGATTTGGCCCCTGACTACTTCTTAGATCTCTTGCTGTATCAATTTTGCCTTCCCTCATTGAAGGCCAGCCTTTGCACTTGCACATCCCTCTTCCTACATCTTTCCACATGAAAAGTCATCTTCTCAATAAAGCCATCCCTGACCACCCAGGCACTCTCTGGCACATCACCCTGTTATATTTTTCTGTATAATATTAACATCCTTTTATTTATTTGTTCGTTTTTATTGTTTATTGGGATGGGAGCCCCAGAAACACGGGGACCAAACAGCATCTGGCTCTAAACGAATGCTCATTAGATATGCATAAAATGAATGAGTGAGAGTTGGGGGTGGACTCTGAAGTGTGGGAGTCTTCCAGGATGAGGAAATGAAATGGACAAAGGTGTGAAGTCAGGAGTAAGCACAGCCTGTCCCGGGACTGGCCTGCTCAGCTCCAGCCGAGGACTAGTTGGGGCCTAGTAAGAAAGGAGGCTGGGGACACAGGCTCGATTTAGATTGTGCAGTACCCTGGAGAATCAGGACTCCATCCTGCAGGGTAACAAAAAGCCACTGAAAACTTTTGAGTTGAAGAGTGGCCTAATAAAATTGTATTTTGAGAAAACGAATTCAGAGTTTGCTGCAGAAGGGCTGAAGCAGGGCCAGCTGTATAATTTTCAGAATCCACTGCAAAATGAAAATGAGAGACCTCTTGTTCAAAAAGCAGGAAAAAAGCGCTGTTCAGGGTACCAAAATGTAAGATGTTTTCCTTTCTTCCACAGTTTTCTTGACTTCTCATGGCATTTTAAAATTTGCTATTTCATATTGTTCTAAATAAAGAAAAATTAACATTTTCTACCTTCAGTTTATCGATGAGTATAGAAGAACTGGAAGGAAAAGAAATTATGGGTTGCCCCAGCTTTCCCTTTCCTTCTATGTCATCATCGCCAGCAAAAGTGGTTGCTTCATTCAGAGAAGTAACATGACTGAGAAAGGTTATGATAAGATCCCCTGATCATTCATGCCACCTAGAAGGCCATTGCATTCTTTCTGTTTTCAAAACAAGTTCTGCTTTGAATGGGAAGTTTGGCTTCTCAGCTGTCAGCACCTCTATTCAGGTGTAGGCATAACACACTTACCTTGTACTCTCTTTGAGTCTCGCTGAACTTCAGCGCATGGTGAGTCACAGAGTTGTGTGCTCATGAAACATCACCTGTGGCCTGTTGTGCATATCTCCTCTGCTCACATGCATATTCCGTTGTCCCGTTGGACTTCACTTATAAAGACAAGTTCAAAGATAAAATTGTGAAGAATTTCAAGATAGTGACAGAAGAGCACTAGACCATTATGAGCACAGGTAGGTTTTGTTCGATGGAGTAGATAGATTCCCCAGTTCATGAAGCTGGCCCTGGACAGGAGGAACAGAGTTTGGTCAACATGGGAGTTGTTGAGGACTAAAGCAAATAATTTAAGATGAGCGTTGAAAGGAGAAAAAAAACCCTCGCCACACAAAAGTGACAAGATTCAAAGAGAGATGAAAAAAAGTAATGATTCTTAAGGTGAGATCTTTAGAGTCTCTTATACTCCCCAAATAGACTGTAGGTCTCTTGAGCCCTGTGAAAACTGCGACCTCATCTCTTCAGAGCTAGATTTGCACAAGGTCTCTAAGTAGGTGCTCAATAAATGTGTGTTGACCCAAATGGGCAAATGAGTAGGGGAGTTTAGATATGGGGATGGGAGGAGGCAGAACATCTAAGCAGACCTGGATCAAGGGCTGGGGTCTCAGGGCAATGATAGGGGCTGGAAATGTGGTGTTGGGAGGGCTTCACGGAGAGAGTTGATGAGAATACTGAGAAGCCCCTAGGCTTGGAAAGAAACTATTGATAGGATAAAGAGCTGTGGGACTGGAGAAGAAGGTGTCGGAGGAGACTAGGAGAAAATCTCACAAAGAGAATTTCCCTCTTGTGGTGGCCGTTTGCTTCCATCCTGCTGCTCTTCTGTTTTTCTTGATCTCTAGCTTTTTCTTTATTCTTTTCACATTCTGCCTTGCCTGTCTCTTGGATCTTGGTCTCTTTTTAGCTCTCTGCCTGGGCCCCCATCTCAGCGTATATCTACTTCTCTCGCAGTCTCTTTCTCTCTGGGGTTATCTTTCCCTCTACTCTGCCCAGACACGCCCTCTATCCCCTCTAGCCTGCCCGCCCCATCCAGTCCAGTACGTGGGGTTTGGGTAGAGGAGAGACCTCCAGGTCCCGAAGAGGCGGCAGGGGGCGGGCCCAAGCCATCTCTCCATATTTGCATATGTGTGAGCCCCCCCCGCGGGCCAGCGGCGAGGAGGCGGGGCTTCTAGGAGGTGGAGAGGGGGCGGGCATCCCGAGAGCCGCTGAGTATAAAGACTGCGCGCCGCGACTGCCGGCCCCGCACTGCTGAGGAGCGGAGCCTCCAGCCGGGGAGACCCTCATCCCTGGCTGTCCCCCAACTGCGCGTCCCCATCCCACACCCGCGGCCGAGCCACCACTAGTGTGGCGGTATCTGCTTGGAGGAAGAACCTTGACCTGTCTCCCAGCCCCTCTCTACAGCCTCTTTGCATCTCGGATTTCGGGGCAGTCCCCTCCCCCACCTCTCCTTGCCTCTTTGCACCCCGAGTTTTTCTGCGTTTCGCTAGGGTTTTGCAGCCATCTATTTTTGCATCTCTTTTTGTTTTGTTTCTAGGAGGTTAAGGGCGAGTGAAGCTGCATTCACACCCCTTCCTCTTTTTATCCTTCCCTGCTCTGACGACCCCCTTTTCATCGCAATAGGGGGGCCTAGGATCGGTGCATCCACGCCGCGCTTCTGGCAAGCCGCAGCGCGTGGCCGTGCACCCGGGAATTTGCAGCAGCTGCATATCTGAAGAGGGTCTCTTTCGTCCCGGCTGCCCTTGCTCCCGACGCGTTTCGGTGCGGGAGGGGAAGGCTTCAGTGCACGGAACCTCAGCTTCTCCGTAGCCCCCAGCCCTGTGCGGGATTCGTCACCCTCCGCCGAGATGGCCATCCAGAAAGAGAAGAAGAGCTGCGGGCAGGTGGTTGAGGAGTGGAAGGAGTTCGTGTGGAACCCGAGGACGCACCAGTTCATGGGCCGTACAGGGACCAGCTGGGGTACGCTGGGCCGGCCGCCCTAGGGGCGGGGGCAGGGGTGGGGGTCCACTGGGCGACGCCCCGGGGCACGAGGTCCCGCCGGCGCAGCCCCAGCTCCCTTCTCGGGTACCCGGCGTCCGACCCCCCTGCCGTGCTCTAGGCTGGGAGGGGACCGAATGCCGGGTCTAATCTCCCTGACTGGCCGCTGCGGAGGCGGAGAAAGTAGGTCACTGCCGCCTTCCTGCCCCCCGCAGAGCCCCCTCGCGCGGGGGGTCGCAAGCTCTGTGCGCGTGTCAGTGCTGCGGCTCTCGCACTGGTTCTCTGGGGCCGGTGTGCTCCACACGGTCGCCCCCCTTCTCCAAAAGAGAGCCCTTCCCGTCCTCCTGCTCCCACTAGCTAGCTAAGCCTGTCTATTTTTAGCTCGTGCCCACCCCTTGGACCCTGGGAACATTCATGAGGGGGCGGGTCTTGGAGACGTAGAGGTTTGTGTTGGAGGGAGGGGGGTTCTTCACAGTGAAAGTTATCTGTATCCCACTGCGGAGCTTTTGGAGCCTTGTATGGCTGCTCTTTGGGTGGGGGATCTTGGGGAGGGGTGGCACTGTGAGGTTTTTGAGGATGGATGTTCAGCTCAGGTATCGCAGGCAGAGAGAAGAATGGTCACTAGTGGTGAGATGTGTACATCATCCAGCCTCGTGTGTCTGTGGGATTGGGGTGGCAGGTGTGTGGAGGGAGTTGGGTCTGGTTGAGGGTCTGGTGCTGGGTATGGGTGCAGGTAGACTTCTTCCAAAAGGGATTGTCAAGCTGGGAAGTCTAAGTACAGGAGACACTGTGATACAATCTGCAGTTCATCCATACAGATCAAAGGCAGTCCCCATCAGTGCACCCACTTAGGGCCCTTGATGTGGGTCCAATTTAGTCCTTGCCTTCAGAGAACTTGAAATCCAGCCCCTGGGACTGGAGGGGTCCATGAGTGCTTGGGAGAATCTGAGGAGGCTTCATGGGGGAAGTATCTTCTGAGATGGAAGGATTGGGGGGTCCCCGGTGGTGGAAACAGCATGGACTCACACTAGGCTGAGGAGTGATGGAGTGACATGTCACATCCACCAAGGACCTGCCCTCTGCTAGGAAGGCTGTGGGAGATCTGCCTTTACTCTCCTCCTCTGCCCTGGATGTTGTATGTGAGTTGGGGGTGGGGCGACTGTTGAAGGTTCTGGACAGCTGTCTCTGAGAGATTTTGTAGTTAGGCAGGAACTGCATTAAAGTTTTGGCTTCTGTGGGGTGCCTGGAGAGAGATTTTGCTATTTGACCGCGAGGGACCATGCTCTGAGGGATGAGTTTGGTGTGAACAGTGGCCAGTGCCAGCTTAGAAAGTCATTGTATGGGACAACTTTAAGTATGAGTATCAACACAACAGTAACAGATGTGCTTATTTCAGGGCCATGACTTGTTGAGAACTTGGGAATGTAATCTGAGGCAAAAGGACTGTGGCTATGGCCTATACTTGGCGTTGTCCCAGCAACGAGAGTTTAGGTCTCTCGTGGCCTCCACAAGGTCAGGCTTTACTGTGTCCAAGGACTGGGAGGTGGCTGGGAGTCATGGCTGGGAGTCATGACTAGAAACCAGACACCAACTGCCTATTTCCAGCTTGTCTCATTTTGCACCCCTGGGGAAGACTCTAAGATATCCCTGAGGCTCTGCAACTCATCCTAGTGCAGAACCTCTGAGTGGGAGAGGAGTGTGTGGGGATAAGTAAGGTCAGGGCAAGAGACTTGGAACCTGCTGACCCTGTTTCCTCCTCCCTAGCTTTTATCCTCCTCTTCTACCTTGTCTTCTATGGCTTCCTCACGGCCATGTTCACCCTCACAATGTGGGTGATGCTGCAGACTGTCTCTGACCATATCCCCAAGTACCAGGACCGGCTGGCCACACCAGGTGAGTGATAAAGCTCCCCTACCAGCTCCTCTAACTGCTCTTGCACGCCCAAGCCTCCAAAAGGAACTCATAGGCTGAGAAGAACTCAGAGTTATTCTCAGAGGTGTGGTTTTCATGATTCAATCATCATGTGCTGAGAAGTTCGTGAAGTCGGCTTTCCTTCTCATTTCCCACAGCTGAGAGTTATGTGGATCTGGGAGGTGGCAAATGTTCATAGTAGGTCTTCCTCCCATGAAGAGGATCTCAGATCTTCACCCTATCCCTCACCCTGGTGTTCCCTACGTTCATCTTCTTCCCTCTGTGTGGTCCCTCATCTTACATATAACCCCCACTCCTGCCCTTGTCTGGCTGTAGGTTTGATGATTCGTCCCAAGACTGAGAATCTTGATGTCATTGTCAACATTAGTGACACTGAAAGCTGGGACCAGCATGTTCAGAAGCTCAATAAGTTCTTGGAGCGTGAGTGTAGGGCTGGTGATGTGGTTGTATGGGACCTTGGGCAGGGGATTGAGGACCCTGGAAGCAGAACATCAGGCCCGTGCTCTCTCTCCCCCACCTCCTTAGCTTACAATGACTCCATCCAAGCCCAAAAGAATGATGTCTGCCGCCCTGGGCGCTATTATGAACAGCCAGATAATGGAGTCCTAAACTACCCGAAGCGTGCCTGCCAGTTCAACCGGACCCAGCTGGGTGACTGCTCTGGCATCGGGGACCCCACTCATTATGGTTACAGCACTGGGCAGCCCTGTGTCTTCATCAAGATGAACCGGGTACCCATGACCTTGGTCCCCAGGGAGAATGGAGGAGGGAGCTGGGGTCACCATCTGCTGGCAGTTGCTTCCTTTCAATGGGGCTTATGGGCATTAGAGATTTTTGGATGTTTGAATGGCTGAGAGAACAAGAGATGGGGCCATTGGAAGATGAGATCATGACTGGAAGGCTGGATATTTGTGTCTCTGGCAACTTCTTTCTCTAACCCTCATCACTCTCTCTCCTCACTCTAGGTCATCAACTTCTACGCAGGAGCAAACCAGAGCATGAATGTTACCTGTGTGGGGAAGGTGAGATTTTTGGGCCTTGTCCACCTGCCCATCTGTTTGTTCATCATGATTTCCATATAATTCACTCATCTCTCCAAATCTTCTTTGCTCTCAGAGGCCCCGTCACTATAGGGACAAGGGGGTAAGAGTGGGCTCCAATATGGCTCAGACTCCAAGGGGCTCCTTCCCCTCTTGCTTCTCTCTAGAATGCAGAAGCCTGCTCTTGTGTGGATAGACACCCACCTCCCTGACTCCACCCAAGCCCTGGTCTTCGGCTTGTCTCCTTAACCCTTCCACCTTCTCCTCTATTCCCTGATAACCATGTCTTCTGCTCTCCCTCCCATATCTCGCCTGCCCCTCAGTTCTTTTTAGGTATCTGGTAGCTGCTGATCTGTTAACACCACTTGCCACCACTAAGTTGTCCTTGGAACCCCGCTCTCTCCACCTTTGTCCTCTCTAGGACTTCCTGCCAGCTCTTCCTTCACGCCCCCTTGCTTCCTACTGAGCTCCCTTACTTATTTATCTGTTCTCTCTTGGCTCTGCTCCAGAAACTGATTCCTGAGGATGGGGTAAGAACTTGAGGTGGGAGTGGAGTATGAAGCTTCAGTATCACTAGCGCCCTTTAGGACTTCCCAGTCTGATGAGACAGGGCACCCTCTCCTGCACACATGCAAACACACACAGGCTCACAGCTCAAGGGAAGTAGATTTGAGACAGAGTCATCTAGGGTGAAAGAAAAAAGGGGAGTCTGGTGAACTTCCGGGTTCTTGCCATCCTTAACATGCTTTCCCTTCAACCCTCCTGTGCCCCCACAGCGAGATGAAGATGCTGAGAATCTGGGAAGCTTTGTTATGTTCCCTGCTAATGGCAACATTGACCTCATGTACTTCCCCTACTATGGCAAAAAGTTCCACGTAAGTCTTATGCGAGGTCCCAAGGCGATTGATGGCTTCTAGGGAAGCGGGGTCCATGGGGAGGAGTTGCCATGTGCCTGGACTCACTCTCTTCCTCTGGCCCAGGTGAACTACACACAGCCCCTGGTGGCTGTGAAGTTCCTGAATGTGACCCCAAATGTGGAGGTGAATGTGGAATGCCGCATCAATGCCGCCAACATTGCCACGGACGATGAGCGAGACAAGTTCGCTGGCCGTGTGGCCTTCAAACTCCGCATCAACAAAACCTGAGGCCCCTTCCTCCTGCCCCCACCTCTTTCCTATGGATGCTTCTGGAATGTCCCTGACCCTGCCTGATCCCTCCCTCACCCACCCCAAAGGTATTTTTTTATAACAGAGCTATGACTTGTCTGAACCTCATGCCCTTTTCCTTCTGAACTCAGCGTGATGTCCATTGTGATTCCCCACCTTCGCACCTTTTCCACTACCTTCTCCAGACCCTAGCTCAGTCAGACAGGGAGATGGGATCCCAAGAGGGTCACATAGGAGCCATTCTGGTTCTGGTTTAGCTGTGAGTGGGGTGTCCCTACAGCTACCCTTCTATTCCGAGAGGACAGCTATAGAAAACCCCCGCCCACCCACCTACACACACATATACAATCTCATTTCATCCCTTAGCTTCCAGAAGGGACTGTGGAAGCACAGCCACCGTCACCTTTCTCTATCTCCCACACTTTCTCCCTCATCTACGCAGTTGCTGTCTTGGTGGCTTTTGACTTATCTGGCTCCTCTGGGAGGTCTTTCCCCACCTCCTCTCCCTCCCCATTCTCTCCTCAGGACAAGTGGTTCTGTGGCCTTTTTTTTTTTTACCCCTGGCACATTCCACTTCTCATCCTAAGGTGACTATGTGAGCCAGGAGTGAGGGTCTGGAAGAGAAGTCCCTACTGGTTCTTGCAAAGTCTCTTCCTGGTCTGCCCTGTCACCCAAGGTGACAGAGAAGAGCTGACCTAGGCTCAATATCCACTTTGTTTTTGCCAATGGCTCCCTTCCCCGTCTGCTTTCCCAGAATATCCTTCAAGTTCCACTTCTCAGGAGCCCCGGGGGAGGGGCAGCCATTTTGGATCAGTCCCCAGTGGCCGCCTTGGAAACATCAGCCGGCTGTGGGACTATTCCACCTCCTTCCCCGGGCTCAGATCTGCCCCCACCATCCTCTCACTGGCTTCTCTTAGCAATTTATCAACTAATCACTAACTTCTTCCCTTTCCTCCACACGTTAGCCTGAAAGTTGCAAATACCCTTTCAATCTAGGCTCTGAATATCCAGGCTCCGTCTCCTTCAGATCCTTTGAATTTTTAAACAACCCCCTAAAGCCCATAGAATTATAAAAGAGGGACCTCCTGTATGCTCAAGTTACAGAGGCATTTTAACTCTTTCTCCTCCAGTGCCCTTCACTTCCTCACCTCTCTAATCTCTCTTTTCTTTTATGATGCTGCTGCCTCCACACCCTACCCACAAATGGAACTTTTCCTTTTTTTCTCTTGCTGGAACTGAGTTTCTTCTCTTTGGGTCCCTGTGTTTTCCTGCACTCTCCTCTCCCCAGTGGTCTCTCTCTGCAGTTATTTAATGCCTGTGTCAGATCTACTGTAAAAAGAGGATAAAGTACAATAAAATGAGAGCAATTATATATATAAATATATATCATACACAGAGCCCTGTGTGTGGGTAGTTCTTTTCTGAGTATTTCGGAGAGCCCTGGGAAGAGGGTGGAGGGTGGACTTGGGTGATCCAGGGTTACCCAGGCCCTGGAGGACTGTGACACCCCCAGCTTTGACCTCTGCTGTCCAGTATCTCCGTATCTACCTTTTAGATCACTCCTTCACCTATACTCTCTTGAGATCATGCAGTACAAGAGACAGGAAGCCTATGTCCCTTTTTATAGCCATACTTATAAAGTGCCTACTATGTGCATTCTAGGCACTGTGAGGACACTTACGAAAGAGGCAGAATTCCTGCCTCCAAGGAGCTCCCCAGTTTACCAGGAGAGGCGAGAAGCACATGAGAAACTATCATACCAGGTAGCCCTAAATGTGCCTCAAGGATGGGAAGAAAGCTGGTGAGGATGAAATTCAGAGTGGTCAACCACTTTCTACTGGGGGCTTCAAAGGGAAGATTTCTTAAAAGTTTAAAGGATTGGGCAGTTTGGGGAGAGAAAAGCATCAGCAAATGCTTCAGATGAGAAAAATTGACTAGAAGAGAGAGACATAGATCTCAAAACATGAACCATATGACCTTATTAATTTCATGTAAAAATAAAAGTACACAAGCATAGAGAAAGCAATAGGTAGGTCTATACAACAATGTTTATTGCGGTTTATGGGACGATTTTATAGCTCATTTTTTTCTTGAGGCTTATTTTCTTTAGTTTGTTTCTAAATGGCTGCATATTTTTTCTATTGGGTCTTTCTGTTGTTAATTTATTAAAGCTCCTTGACAGATATAGATAAAAACTATTTTCTGCATTGTAAAATTTCTCCCTGCCGATTATTTGCCTCTTGAGTTTGTGGTTTCTTTTACTGTTAAAAAGTGTTGAGTTTTCACATACAATGGAATATTACTCAGCCATAAGAAGAGATGAAATACTGCCATTTGTGACAACATGGATGGAACTTGAGATAATCATGCTAAGCGAAATAAGCCAGACAGAAAAAGTTGAAAATCACATGATATCACTTATATGAGGGATATAAACCTAAAAGCAACATGATCAGGAGAAACAGAGACTCATGGACGTGGACTATAGACTAATGTTTACTAGAGGGTAGGGGGTGGGAGGAGTGGGGAGGTAGATGGGGTAAAGGGGGTCAAATATGTGGTGACAGAAAGAAATCTAATTATGAGAGGTGAGCACACAGTCAAATTATAATGTACACCCGAAAATTATATAATTGTATTAACCAATGCTACCCTGATAAACTTAAAAATAATAAAAAAAAAAAAATAAAAAAATAAAATTAAAAAAAAAAAAAGTTTGGGTGTTCAGGTAGTCAAATATGCTTAGCTGTTCCTTTGTACTTTCTGGGTTTCCAGTCACTAGAGGATACTATTTTCTAGATTCTGGGCAGGGAAGGGGGAGGTTTTAATTTCATTTAAGTTTTACATTCACTTTAATTCATCTGGTTTTTGTGTGGTGTAAATTAGGAGTCCAATTGTTTCCAGTTGTGTCAGCTTTTTATTTTAAAAAAATTCACAATTTATTCTCATTGAATTGAAATGCCAACTTTGTCCATATAATTAAATTTTCTATTGAAATTTACTTCTGGATTCACTACTTGCTGACTCTGGCTTGTCTACCACTCCATATACCAAGCCATATTGATCTGATTCCAATAGTTTTATAGTATTTTTTTTGACATCTAACAAAGTAAGTTCCTCCCATTCTCCTTTTAAAACTACTATTGGCTATTCTTGGGCACTTAGTCTCCATAAATTTATGATTTATCCAGTTTATGGAAACAAAAATACAAACTTGTCTGGATTCTAATTGGAATTGCATTATATTTTTATTTCAGAATTGACCTTTTCCCCAGGAAATTAAGTTTTCCCATCTAAGAATATATTATTTTCCTTTTGTTTAGAGCTTGGTTTTAAGTCCTTAAATAAGGTTTTATAGGTTTCTTCATATAGGTCCTGTGCTCTTCTTTTGTGTGCCACTCTTATTTACTTTATTCCTAAATATTTTATTGCTTTTATTTTGAATGGAATATTTTCATTTATGTCCTTTTGCAATAAGATAAAAACATTTCTCCATTATCCATCTACCTTACTAAATTCTCTTCAATTCTATCAGATATCTTATTGTCTTGTTTTTATGCACATAATCATGTGATCTCTAAAAGGTAGAGATATTTTAACCAGTGTTTATCCTCTTGAATGCCTTTAAACCATTGCTAGTGGGTATCTCTTAGTTCTTGATTCTAGGTTTGTTTGTTTTTTTTTAAATGCCTACAGCACCTGATATTCCTAGGTGGTCTCCCATCCAAATACTAACCAGGCCTGACCCTGCTTAGCTTCTGAGATCAGATGAGATTGGGCATGTTCAGGGTGGCATGGCCCTACGTAGACTAGCTCTTGATTCTAATCAAAATTATCTTAATGTTTAACCATTAGATTACTTATTGGTATTATATTACTGTTTTAATTTTCTTTAAAAGAATGGCTGCTGACATTTAATGAAATTCATTTCAGCATCTGTTGATATATTTTTCTTCCTTAATGTAATGAATTTTGTTGATAGATTCTTTATTAAGCTAACTTTTTGATTCTGAAATAAACCCTAGTGTTAATATTCGTGACTCATCAATGTATTCTGGTACTATTTTGAGATATCTCATCTATATAATTTGGCTTCTAGTTGCTTAGTATCTTATCAGGTTTTAATATTAATGAAACCACAATTATTCTACACATATTGGAATTTTCATTCTTTTCCTATGGCTTGGGATAATTTAAGTAACATTCAGTCCTTGCTTTTTTTTTTTTTCTATCACGTACTTGGAGTTTTCATTTCAAAATGTATCTTAAAAAATATTTTTTTAAAGCCCTTGCTTTTAGATTTATTCTTTCAACCAAATTTGCTTTGTTTCAATAATTTATCTTTAATTTTTAGGATGCGTGCTAAGTTTCTTTTCTTTTTTTTTTAATTATGAAATCATTTGTCTATACATTTTCCTCTGAACATTTTTTGCTGGGTTTCAGCAAAAGATTTGGGGACCCTCTGCTCCTGAAATCAGGGAGATAAGTTTTCTAAAATTTCCCATACCTTGATGGGGGCAGGCCTTGAGCTCTTTCAGTTTGAGGGCAAGGGATATGTCTGCCATGGGTCCCCAGGGCTTAAACAGTGGTGGGCACAGAGTAAGGCACCAGTGAATACAAACACATGAGTAGATGAACACACCAGAGGGAAGGAAGTAAGCAGGTAGGATCAGAGAATTTAGGGACTCATTAAATGTCATATAGCTCACAGCAGAGCTGGCCTGAAAACTCAGGTCTCATAATTCTCAGTCCAGTAATCTATTAACTCACAAAGAAGGAATCAGCAGAGCCAGAATGGATCTGCTTTCTGGAGTACAGCAGAAACGAAGCAGACAATCTAGGGCAATGTGAGTAGGGGGTGCTGAACGCTGGTCAGAAGAAAATAAGCTTCAAGGTGACTATCTGCAGGAGTGAGAGGGAATGAATTACAAGAAATTTGGTTTGCCAAGGGCCTGGTGGGTGGGTAAAGATGGTAAAGTTAAAGGTCTGTGAAAGAGGTAGTTCTGGGTTTCCTGGGGAGCATTTGGCATTTCTCAGCAACAAAGAAAAAAAGTGGTTTTGAGGCCACTTTTGAGGCTGTTGGCTTCATAGCCATCTGGGATCCTTAGGGTAAGCCACAGTATTCCCACTGGCATCTTAAGCCTGGTTGGTAGGCTGAGGACCATGGCCCAGAAAACCCTCCAGTCCTTAGTACTTCTCCCTCCACCCCCAGAGAGGAGGCAGGACAAGACATGTCCCCACTTTCTAGCCACCCCCTAAGCATTGGCTAAGGCAGCAGTGGGTGATGGGGAGAGCTTGCCATCAGCCCCCCTCCCTGGGAGCTGACAGTACTGAAGAACAGGATGAAGGGGGCTGGTGCTGAGCTCCCCAACCTCTCCTCCCTACCCCGAGAAGCCCTTTGAAAGATTTTCCTGGCAGAGTTTAAAGCTTCAATTCATTCAAGTGCCTGGCATTAGGCCCAGGATGAGGGGATGCTGGGAAGGCCCCAGCCCCACACCCCAGCCCTTACCTTAGCTGCCCCCACTTCTTGAGGACCTCTGCTGGCAGGCCTCCCCATGCTCTCTCATCATCCAATAGCACCCACCCTCTTTCCCCTTGGGAACCCAGGTATCCAGCTCCTTTCCTGTGGAGCAGATGGCTACCTCAGAGGCTCAGGCTTGCTAAATCAGACATTTAAATCCCATAATCCTTGGTGAGAAGCTGACAAGGAGGCAGTAGCTGAATCCTAGAAGCAGGGGCAAGAGAATCTTGTGCCAGCCCTGGCAGGAGGGGAGGAGGGGCAGTTGGTTCCTGAGTTATGAATGGAGTAACCCCCTCCCTTTTTATCATGCAGCCTGCAGGCTGACCCAGTCTCCAGCTTTTGTTCTCTCCCGGAACCCGGGTATTGGGCCCTAGCCCACATTCCCTGGAGACTCAGGTGGCTGTCTCCCAATGTCACCTCCTTAATTCATTCCTGCATTGCAGACCCCAGGCAGCCTGTACTGGCATATACCCCTCAGATACACAGGTTGTAGCAAAACTTTATTGTAAAATAAGAAAATACAAAAATGTGGTATAAAAAGGGGAGGGAAAGGGTGCGGGTGAAAAATACAGATGTGCTTTGCAGAGTGCAAAAGAAATTGACCCTGAGCATCTGGGGGAAGTAAGAGATCTTGGTAGATACAGATCCTACATCAGGGATGGAATCCTGCAGGGTGTGGGATGAGGTGAAATTCTTATGGGCTAGGGTTCACCAAGAAGTTAGGATTTAGCCAGGCTAGCAGAGAAAGGATTTGGAAATTCCCTCCTCTTAGCCAGTTGCCCAGTTACAGAAAGCATCAACCCATCCACACCAACAGGGACAGGGAACAAGCATCCCTGAGGGTGCCTAGTTCCAGACATACATTATTTCATTAACCTCACAATAAACCCCGTGAGGTAGGTATAATTAGCATTTTATCGATATGGACTATGAAGTTAGGAGAAATTCAACAACTTGTAATAGCTTCCCTGACTAGCCTGTAACCCAATGTATGGCTGATTTAAAACCTAATCCTTACATACTTTTACCATCTTCAGAGTAAAAACCCTAAAAGCTAAATAAGCTTGAAACATCCCAGCTTCCCCTACCTCCCTCAAAAACCACCAGTGCAGGCCAACTTCTTTAACAGAGCCAAGGCAAACGGAATTCTAGAGTGTTTCTGAGGCACATCTGTACCAAGCAGACAGAAGTTTAAGCAACTAAGCTCTCAAAAATGCCAGGGAAGGTGGATGAGGGTGGGGTGTTAATGGAGAATAGGAAGCAGAGGACGTCAATTTGAGTCAGGCCCCTCTCTCTTCAACGTGAGTTTTTTATGGCAGGAGGTAGACTGCCCCTTCTTAGACTTCAGGTGGCTGTGGGGGAGAAAGAAGGGGAAGGGGAGATAACATCATCTGATTAAGAGGCTCAGGCGTCCTCTTCCTAGATCTAGGCTTTGAAAGGTCTAAAGTTGGAGCAAGGGGAATTTAAGTTAAAATGGTCATCAACTGCATACATGTTTACAGAACACCTTGGGTACTTATGTGTATTAATTAATCTCTTACTCTTTCCTTACGCTATTTGACAAAAGAGGAAACTGAGCTTGCGAGGGGGAATAACAAGGCCACAAAGGACTTGCTAGTACTCAGCAGGGCTGAGGATCTGCCCTCAAACCCCGGCTCTGTCCAATACTTATACAGTTTTCAGGCCACTGTTTGAGACCCCCCAGCTCTAAGCTAGAGGTTGCTGGAAGTGACAAATATCCATGCTCCTATCTGGGCTTGAGGGGTTTGTGGACACCCGCTGAAGCAGTTACATGATACAACTGGAGGAAGACTAAAGAATGTTTGGGCAAGACCAGGACCCAATGGGAGGGGATCAGTTGCCTTTTACCTTGAAGGCAGAATTAGAATGGAATCCCAGGCTTTTCAACATAGGAAGGTAGGGGAGTAGGGCTAGGAGGGGACACTTACCTGGAGTGAGCCCTGCTTCCCCTGGGCTCCTTTCCAGCCTGAGCATCCTTCAGCTCTAAGGCCTCATTCAGTTCTCGTAATATCTCGAAGTTTTTACGTCCACGGATCTATGGCAAGGGAGGAGGGGGATACAGAAGTATTAGATAAAGTCATGGAAACATTTTCATGCTCTATTTAACAATTTTCTTTTAAAATGTAGGTATGGTACAAACTGGCATGCAGAAGTCAGGCACAACCAGGAGCTATTGTCTCTAGGCACTACTGCCCTCTGATGGCAAATGTCCTAAATGCAGGGAAAGAAGTCAGGAAGAAATAGCATTTTGAGTGCTAGACTTGAAACTTAACAAGTCTCCATCACCAGAGGAAAGGACGGATAGGGAATCTGGGCCAAACCTCACATTTGCTACACTTCTATCTTTTATTCCCTTATCCAATCCCACTGAGTAGGGGCAAGAGATTGTATATTAGTCTCTCCTAGACTTGGTACCTGAAGAGTAAAATATTCTTCATCCAATGGCATCTTTGGTGAGGGAGAGGAGCTGGTGGTATCGGTGGGCAGTGCTGGGAAAGAGGTAAGGAAAAGTGAGAAGAGTGAATTCGGGGTAGAACTGCACCCTCTCTGCCTCTTCCACTTTCACGTTTTGCATGTTTACCTCGCTTAGTGCTCCCAGGGGGCTTCTTGGGACAAGGTTCCCCCTTCTTGTGGAAATTCTCTTCCTCTGTGCGCCGGTCTCTCCCAGGACAGGCACAAACACGTACCTCAAAGCTGTTCCGTCCCAGCAGATTACCACTACCCAGATAAGAGAAGGAAGGAGGCAGTTAGAAAGGTGGGCACTACCTCCCTGGTCTCCTGCAAACCAGGCCTCAACTTACTTTCAACCACCTTCATCCTATGTGGAGCCTAAGTTTCAGCTCCAGTCATTTGGAGGAGAAGCCGCAAGTAAGAAAGATCACAAAGCTAGAGAAAAGAAAACTGGGAAGGAGCAGCACTGGTTCTGTATATGGGGATGGGAGTGAGAGGAAAAGAGGGCTGGTAGTATGGGAGTAATTTGTTGAGAGGCCGGGCCCAAGAGACAGAGACAGGTAGAGACTAGGGAGGAGTGTGCCAGTGTGAAGAGTGGTATGCGGGTCCCTACCTGGAGTCTTCCAGTGTGATGATGGTGAGGATGGGCCGTCGGTTCATACCCCCCATGCAGGAGCTATTACACATGAAGTTGTAGTGGATAGTGGTACAATCAGAACCCACCTGGGAGAGAACAGCAGCCCAAGGTGAGGCCACCTAGCCCTGGGAAGGCCTGTTGTCTCTGTAAGCTGTTTACTCAATTGTGGAATGGGGATAACCATTCCACGCCTCAGTGTTGTGGGAAGGCCAAAGAAGAAGCAGGAGAAAGCTCCCCTATCTCCCGCCTGGATGGCCAATGAAAAACCCTTCCAGGCCTCTCCCCGCAAGAGACCCCTCCCCGCAAGAGACCCCAGCCAAACCATACCTCAGGCGGCTCGTAGGGTACCACCACACTATGTCGAAAAGTATGTTTGTCATCCAAATACTCGGCACGCAAATTCCCTTCCACCCGGATAAGATGCTGAGGAGGGGCCAGACCTAAGAGCAATTAAGGAGGAATCAGGGACCTGGGGACCCTGGGCACCAGCCCTGTCTCATCTGCAGCCCCCAACCACTCACCATCGCTATAGTCAGAACAGCGTTCATGGTGGGGGCAGCGCCTCACCACCTCTGTCATGTACTCAGATTTCTTGTAGATGGCCATGGCTCGGACACGGGTACCAAGTGGGGGTGGGGAGCTGACCCAGAGCTGCACAGGGCAGGTCTTTGCTAGCTGGCAAAACAGCTTGTTGAGGGTAGGAGAGTACTGTAGGAAAAGAAGAATGAATGGAAGGTCAGGGGACAAGCATCCAGGGGGTCAAAAGAACAAACACTACTTAAGCATCAACTGGAAGCCATGTACCATGTGGGGAGGGTAGCTAAGGATGGCAGAGTTGGGGACCTACATTCCAGAAGTTTATTTACAAAAGCTAAGGAATGAATAAGAGCAAAGAAAAAAAAAAGAAAAAGAAAAGTTCCATGGCCCCATGAGATGCTGAGAAGGATGAAAGCCCAAAGTCAAGGGGGAAAATTCAACTTTGGGACAGAGGTCAAAGGTAACAGACTAAATAGGTAAGATGTAGACATACAAGAAGCTAAAGGCTGAGAAAAATTCCAGTGTTCTGAAAAGAAAAACCCAGGGGGATATGGCGAGGCATCAAACTGTCACATGGAACCCAGCCACTCAAGGTCACTGACCGTGCAGGTTACCGACTTGGCTGTCCCAGAATTCAGGAATCCTAAACGAAAATCATAGCTGCCAGGGTAAGTCTTCTGGGAAGGGACAAAGGATGACAAGGGCCAGGAGGTGGCTGGTGCTGGGGTGGCAGCTGCTGGGACCCTGGGGGATTCATTTTGATCTTCATCCAGCCAGTTCACAAGGACTGAGGGCAGCAAAAATTCATTCTCTGGCAGGGATATGTCGGGGGGCTGTGAATGGAATAGACAAGAGTCAGAGGGCCAAGTTCCTAGCCACTCAGCCCTGCAGCTCCTGTTCCCTTCTCACCCCGAGTCCTTACCAGAACGTTGTTTTGAGGAAGTCTAAAAGACAAGAGCAGAAAGTCAGTACTGGTTTTTGCTTTCTATAGGCCTAAGGGGCTGGGAAATGGGGTGGGACAGTGGTTATTACAGGTTAGGCAGTGAACTTGCCCCTCCCAAGAGACCTCTACTCACAGTTTCCACAAGTCTGAAAATGTCTCCTGACTCAGAGGGGGCTCCATATTGAGTTCTGACTGAGGTATATCCATTGCAGCTCCCTGGAAGGCAGTGTGGCTGCTGTCGGGGGAGAAGCAAGGACCCAGCATGAGACACACTCAGAACCAGGTCACCCAGCCTTAAGGGAGGAGGGCCCCCTTTGACAACACCATATCAGATGTTGAGACACAAGAATCCCCTGACTTCCTGAAGAGTAAGACTGCTCCTTTATACCTTCTCTCTTCAAATACTTTATTACAACCCAGGCTGCCTGCCTCACCCCTCACCAGACTCTCCACACACTTCCTTGAGAAAAAGATAACCAGGACTTCCAACCTTCCCACCACTGAATCCACAAGGCTTCTTGAAGTGTACCTAACTTCTGCCCTCCTTCCTAGTAACAAGGATGAAGTAACTATCAGCCCATTCCCTCCATCTGGGGGAAGATACTTCTCTTGACCCTCACATTCTCCACGTGATCCACTTTATCTTAAAGCTTCCTGAAGAATCACTGTATCTTCTGTCACCCTTCACCCACCCATTCCCTTGGGTCAGCTCCTCACCCTGGTTTACAAATACCTCACAACCAGGCCCCTGCCTGCCTCTTTGATCTCGTCTCCCAGCACTTTTTCCCTTCCCTGATGCTTGAGGTACACTGGCTGCCTTCCTCTCCTCTTCACTCTCCAGTCCACTCAACTAGGAACGCCATTCTCGCCATCACTGCAGGGTAGGCTCCTCACTGAGACCTCAACTTGAATGTCACAGCTCTTCAGGGATGTTTTCCCAGAACACTCAAAGACTGCCAGCCAAACTCTGTTACCTGCTTTAATTCTCACGGTACTTACACTGTCTGATACCTTTTCTTATTCATGTTTCCTCTAGTTGCATATAAACTTCCTCAGGACAAAAAAGTTCTGTCTTGTTTATCATAGTATTAGCAATAAGTGAATTGTTGTGCCCAGGCTGTGAGCACGTTATGAGCGGTCAAAGCGGCAAGGGTGACAGAGAAGTGGGGAGGTCCCAGTCTGGGCCAGGGTCCTGCACTAGTTTCTGCTCCTATCATCTCTTTCTCCCAGACCAGCTTTCAAATGGCTTCATCATCTTTCTTTATGCCACATTTGTCAATCAGCTTTGCTAAGAAACATACATGCTGCAAATTATACCTTTCTTTCTGTTTTGCTGAGAAATATCCCCCTGCCCCCAGCAAGCAGTTGCCACTGGTGAGCTCTTTCTAGTTTCCCTTAACTTCACCTCTACCTTTATGTTGATAGAGGGCTTTCTTCCTTATATAATTAGTTTGCAAAAACCTTTTTAAGTGGTTACCTTATTTGTCTAGATAACCACACTTGACACTTTATAGGAGATGAAGCTCAGTCTTAAAAGAGGTTAAGTGCCTGGGCCCACAGTACACAGGTGAGTGAATGAGCTTTATTAAAAAAGGAGCAATCCCAAAAACATCTGCCTTGGCGAGGGGATGAGGGAGAAGTATTATGGTCTCCCTAGATCGATGATAAAAAGAAAATTGAAACTTTTATGGAAGGAGGCTCAATTGAATGGAGAGGGGGCTCAGAAGTCAAAAGCCCTAGGGTTTGATGTATTGTCACTCAAGTTTGCTACATGACCTTACCTATCTTGAGGGGCTAATTTTTGGCTTTCTCACGTACAGTAACTGAGTTTTACTCATCTTTGCGTTTTTAGTGCAAAGCACCTGAGACTGGGAAACATAGGCAGCTGTAGCAGAGCATGGGCTCTAGAGGCAGACAGGCTAGCATCCCAGGCTCGCCACTTAATAGCTGGGAGTTTATTAAACCTTTGTGTGCCTTAGTGTCCTTTGCTCTAATAGTAGGACCTTACTTATTAAGGGAAATGTAAAGAGCTGAGAAAAGTGCCTGGCACATAGTAAGAGCTTAACAAAAGTTTTGGTTTGTATGATTGTCCCATTTAATTTTTTCTATATTATTGTTCTAGAGTGAGAACTTTGTGATTGTGAATGCGTAGAGCTTTTGTGTATTGCCCCATTAATGCTGGTTCACCTCCTTTAGGGAACTTTGTTCAGTTAACATGCCAGGAGAGGCAGTCCTGGGATGGTGGGCCCAAGGTGTCAATCCAACTGGGGGACAGTCCCATGGACATGTAGGAGGCTTCCCTCTTTCAGTCCTTGGTAGCAACTACAGTCTCAATGCTTCATTCAAAATAGCAGGCACAGTCATCACTATTCCGGAAAACTTTTCAGAGCAGATACTTCCCATGGGTATGAGCATCAGGGAGCCAGGATACCATAAATTGTCAAAAGCTGAACCAGACCTTCTAAAAGATTGGGGAGGCAGGATGTTTATACAGGAAGTCCCACTGGGAAGGCAATGAACTCAGTCGGGACTCCAAGGAAGGGAAGGTCAGACAACTATATCATAACAATGGCTGCTGCTTATAGGCTCTATTAGGGCCCACTGCTTTCAGTGGCTTATCTCATTAATCCTCTCAAAACGCCAGGAAGGTAGGTATTATCACCAGCTGAGGGAACTAAAGTTATGGGAATTAAGTCACTTACCCAGGCTCAGAAAGCTCCCAAGAGATAGGGCCAGGGATTGGAACCTGTGCAGTCTGAGGCTACACCCCAGCTCTAAATAATTATACCCCTCTGCCTTCATTCAGAATCTGGTGTAAAAAAAAAAAATTTCTGGCCAGAGCTATTTGATTGGGAAAAAAATTGATTCTGGAAAGTAATAAGGCAATGTCATAAAACTGAAAACACAAAAACCTAACTCAGCTAAACCACTTCTGGGTAGACTCCCCAGAAAAAGTTGCACAGGGGCAGCAGGATTCTTGCACAAAAATGTTCAAGTCAGTGTTATTTCTAATGTTAGGCAATAAGAAACAATATTACTACCCATCAGTAGAGAAAAATGGCTAAATTAAATGTGGTATACTTACTCATAAGACAAATTTACTACAGCAGTTTAAGGAAATCAATTTATCTGTATAAGTGTAGCCTAATATAGCTTAGAAACAGATTGGGTGAAAAATGTGATTTGAAGGAAAAAAGCAAAACACAGTAATGGAAGTAGTTTATGTAAATTAAAAGTGTAAAGCCACATATTGCCTATAAACATATTTATGTAAAAGTATGAAAGACAAGCAAGAAGAATAAAAATTCACAAAACTATGATAGTGATGGTCTCAGGGAGGGGATAGTCATGCTCATGGGACTGGGGGTACATAGTCAAAGGGGGTTTTAGCTTTATTAACAGAAAAAAAAAGATGGTATCCATACATTACTCGTGCAATTAAAATGTGGACAAAAATAAGACACAAATAGACTCTGTTCTATTCATTGGTTGTCATCCTACTGCAGCTTTACAGTAATCTTTAAGTCAGGTAGTTTAAGGCCTTCAACTTTGTACTATTCTTTCATATTGGAATCAGCTTGTGAAATTCTACAAAAAAGCCTGCTAGCATCTTTAAAACTAATTAATTAATTAACTAATTAATTTTATAGTGACATTGGTTAATGCCTGCTAGGATTTTGACTGGGATCGAATTAAATAATTTTGGGGGGTATCAACATCTTAACACCATTGAGTGATTCAAGTAGTGGATACGGTACCCCTCTCCATTATTTAAATCTTCCTTAAATTCTCACCAATATTTTATAGTTTTCAATATAGAGCGCTTGTCCAATTTTTGTTAAATTATCAGAATATGCCATGTTTTTAGATGCTACTGTAAATGGCAGTTTTTAAAATTCATTTTCCAAGCTCAGATTCAATGGGTGCTATTATGCAAAAATACGATTTACGTATGGTGCTTTTAAAACACGTGACTTTGCTATAATCACTTACTAGTTCTGATAGTTTTTCATCGGATTTTCTGTTAGTATTTTTTTTGTGTACACAATCATGTCATACGTGAATAAAGTTTTATTTCTTCCTTTCTAATCTTTATTTCTTTTTCTTGCCTGGTTAAGACCTCCAGTATAATGCTGAAGTGGTGAGAATCGAATCCTTTTCTAGCTCCTGATTATAAAGGAAAAGCATTCAGCCTACCACTATGATGTATACTGTTAATGGTAACTTGATTGGGGGTGCCCTTCATCAGACTGAGGAAGTTTTCTTTTCCTACTTTGCTGGGAGGCTAGTTTTTCTTTTTTAAAAAATCATGAATAGCTGCTACATATTGTTAACTGCTTTTTATACATCTGTTGAAATGATCATAGGATTTTAATTTTTTACACTGATTTTTGAATGTTAAATCAACACTGCAGTCATGGATAGCCTCCACTTAGTCAGGATGTTATTTATCATTTTTATATATTAGCAGATTTGATTTGCCAAAATTTGTCAGATTTTCGCACATAAATGCTAGCAGGAATATTGGTTTAAATTTTCTTGTAATGTCCTTGTTTGATTTTGCTATCAGGATTATGCCGGTCTCTCCAAACGAGTTGGGCAATGTTACCTCCTCTTTATATTTTCAAAGTTTGTGTATGATTGATATTTCTTCCTCAAATGTGTAAAGAGCAGGACAAAGAAGACAGACAGAAAATAGTACTAAGATAGCAGACTTAAACTCAAACCTCACAATAATCACATTAAATGTAAATGGACCAAGCACTCCAATTAAAAGCACTTCGGTGGGAAAGGAAGGCTATTTTAACAAGGAGCTAGAACGATTGGATATCCATATAGGAAAAAATAAAATAAAACAGAACCTTGACTCTCGTATCATAAACAAATATTTTAAGTTAATTATGGCTCATCGACCTGAGGGTAAAACCAAAAACTATAAAGATTCTAGAAGAAAATATATGAGAAAATGTACAAGAGTTATCTTCATGATCTTAAGGTTAAGATTTCCTAAATGGGTCACAGCAAACAATTAAAAGAAAGAAGATGAATCTTCTGTTCCTTTAGGCAAGCAACAGGTCAGGAGAAAACACATTTATCAGACAAAAGATAACCGTATCTGGAACATAAAAACCGCTACAACTCAATTAAAAAAAATTTTAAATGGGGGAAAAGACTTGAAGAGCCACTTCATAAGACATAGGAATGGCCAATAAGCATATGAAAACTGTCGAACATAGTTAATGATATGACCACTTTGAAAATTAGAATTTTTTTATAGTTAAAATATAGAGATCTACTCTCTACTTTCTTGACCTAGCAATTTCAATCCTAAGTATCCACTCAAGAAACATGAAAACTCATTACCACAAAAAGAATTGGCCAAGAATGTTAATAGCAACTTTATTCAAAATAACCCTAACCAGGAAACAAATGGCCATCAGAAGAATGAACAATTGATGGTTGATTCATCCAACGTAACATACTAAGTAAAAAAGAGCAAAATACTGATACACCACCGATACATGCAATAACACGAATTTAACAAACATTATGCTTCAGGAAAGCCTGATACAAAGGAGCACAGACTGTAAGATTCCATTTACATGAAGTTCCCCAACAGGCAAAACGAACCCATGATGACAAAAATAGAGGTGGGCGCCGGAGACAGACTGAGAAGAGACACAAGAAACTTTTCTGAGGCAATAAAAATGTTCCGTACTTTGAAAGGCGTTACAGAGTGGTTAACCGCTAAAATTCGTCTAATTGCAGTGGGTGAAAATGCAACCTCAATTTAGAAAAAAGATAAACACATAGGTACTGCGCAGTGTCTGTTTCTCAGCAGGTGCATGGTAAATGACTGAATAAAATGACCGCGTCCTGTGGGATGAAGATGCAGGACTGTGAAGTCTGGGAGTTGGACTGCGAACGGGTTCCGCCGCCTCCCACAGGCGACTACAAGTAAGGGTAAGCGGGCTGCACTTAGGACCTCGGGGCCACCTCTCCCCAAGGCCCGCCCCTTCCGCTTCCACGACGTTCAGTCTGCGTCCGAATTTGGAATGGCTTAGTCCAAAGCCAGACACAAGATTAGTTGTTTCTCCGCCAGAAACAAATGATCCGTCGTTACACTGTTTCATCATTTAATTCTCAAATGTACCATCTGCGAAAGTACTCAGGATTTTCCCGATGCACTTTTTTAAACCCTGTCCCACGTAATGGTAGCTTCCGCCTAGATCGCAGTCGCCCTGGGTGGAACACACCATTAAAAGAGGGGGAGGGGTTGAGGTTCGCATCAAAACAAAGATCCCCTTCCTTTCCGAAAGCCGTAATTGAGTAGTCCAGGAAGAAAATAAATTAGAGGAGGGGATTATCGACCTCCCTCGGCAAGCAATAGCCACCAGCCTAAAAATCTTTTTCTCTTTCTACTTCCCTCTCGTCTGGTGAATATGAGTTGCTCCAAAGAAAGAAACCGGAAATGCTACAAGTGGCAGAAATGTAAATGTAGACCCAAACAATAACAGGGCTCCCGGGCCTCTCAGACCAGGACAATCCTCCCCGGTTTCGCAGGCAAACCTCTCAATTAGCACTTCCCACTTTCACAACTGACAGTATTTAATTGGATTTTCTCTATCTAGCGGAGCAGGAGGCCGGTTGGAAAGGTTACTCCAGGAAGGACAAAGGTCCGAAAGTTATGGGACCTTAGCAGCGTGGGCTTCCCAGATCTACGGGAATAATCGTTTCGGAATGGAGCCCAAGAATCCACCAGAATACCATAGCTCTAAAATTTCAAGAGCTATAAGTTCCCAAAGTTCCGAAATTCGAGTCTCGGACCCTGATGTTCTGTGCGTTTTTATTTCAGGATTCTCCACAGCCGGAATGGAGGTAGAAGGGTGGGGAAGAAACCCTCAGGCCAGCTGAAAGTTCCCCAAAGTCCTACGCCTTCGCCCAGGTTTTCAGCTTTGAGTTCAGCTAGTCTTAACATCGCCATTATAAACCTTCAGGCCTCCCAACATTGCATTTCTCTGTTAGTGCCGCCAGCCAAGCTTCCAGCCCCCCGTACACACACTAAATCGCCCAGTCCCCAATGCCCAACCCCCAGTCCCCACTATTTTCTCTAGCTGAAAATAAATGGAGCCTAGGGCTCCTGTCTCAGAGAGGACTCATCGGGCTCAGTCAAGAGCTTACCCGAACCTCAGGGGAGCGTATTATTGTCCTGGGAAGCACGCTCCGAGGCCGGATTCCAGGTGAACCCCGGGGCCCAGCGGCCACCTGCACTCAGGATGGTGGTTCTAGACTTTTGAGCTCAAAACTTTTAGCGCCAGTCGGAGCACATGGGAGGGGAAAATCCCAATCCCAGCAACCCCCGCGAAGCTTCTGGCACAAAGCTGGACAGTGGCCATGACAAGTAAGGGCAAGCAATTCGCCAGAGGGCGGAGGCCGTGGGACTGGAGAATGGGAGAGGAGGGCGGAGAGAGTCAGGTTTCTCGCCGTATTGGTGCTGTAGCTACCGACATTTTGGGATTTGGAAGTTCGACAAGTCAGAGCCGCGAGGATGGAATTGGCGGAAACCATTTTGGAAGACTCCTGCCGTTGTGTCAAATACGAAGGTGGAACGGAGAAAGAAAGCCTTTGCATTTGTCGTTCTCTCCGCCTGGAACACTCCTCTCCCAGATAGCTGGACAGTGTCTTCTCATCAGTTAAAATGTCACCTTCTAGGAAAGTCTTAATATCTCAATCTAACGTATTTCTCCAATACTCTCTATCAGTCTATCTTGTTTTATTTCCTTCACAGCTCTTATCACTATCTGAAAAAATTTATTCCTTGCCTTTAATACACAGTAACATAGCATTTGTCCACTGTCTTACTCAATTGTGTTTCCCAGTGCCTTATGGTACTGGCTGGCAAGTAAGAGCTCAATAATAAGTGTTTATTGAATGAATGAAGAGACGGAAGTCAAGAATTTGGCGAATGAGTTGCAAGAGGTTCAAAACCTATAAAATCAAATATAGCGCTGGCGCCCTCTGCAGGTGAGGGAGGAAGTAGGTGCTTTAAGAACGACCGCGGGAACTCAGGCACTTCTCGCCCAGGCAGAAGCTTTCAGACTACAACTCCTAGCAGCCACTAGGAGTCCCAGAGCTTGATGGGAACGATAAACCGTGACATGATACGTTCCTGCCCCGCCCCTCCGGTGGGTCGCCCGCGAAATTTTATCCTAACTGCGGAGGTCCAATCGAAAAGTGTTCCGAAATCCCTCGAGAGCAAGTGGCGCGTAGCAACCGACCGGGCCAAGGGCCAGCGTGCTTTCAACATTGTCCTGGTTAGCTTCGCCTTTTGGGGGTCGTCTCCCCCCTCCCTGAAGAAGGAAGATACAGGTGGGTTTCTTCAGCCTGCGTCGCGGATCCTTATAGACTTTGAAGCTGTCTCGGTTTCTCCGCAGGTCAGCCAGCTGGTAGTAGCCTGTGGGAAGAGGGCTGCCTGGCCGAGGCCAATGTCTGCCGCGTTTCTTCTGCAGTATGAAGACGCCGGAGACGCCACCGTTAGCTTCAGACTGCCCGCCTTCAGACCAGGCCCCGGCTCTAGCCCGTATCTCTTCTCAGGCTTCCCCAGTGGATAAAAATACGGACCCTGAACTGATGCCACCGCCGTCCGATGGGGATGATCTGCCCCACATGTCTCCAGATCCCATGGCTGGCTCAGCTGTGTCCCAGGAGCCAGGGGAGGGGGACCTAGCTTCTCTCTCCACTCCGCTGGAAACAGGGTTTGGCACCCCTAGTGAGTGGAGCCCTGGAATCAAGGAGCAAGAACTTTCTGAAAGTGTGAGCTTTCCTGCAGAAGAAACGAATAGGCCAGAGTTGGGGTCTGAAGAAGCCATAGAAGGTGTATCTGAGGAACCCACTCCTGAGGATGAAGGATACCCGTAAGTGGTATTGGCAGTAGACTCAGGACTCTGAAGAAATTGGAAGTGTGAGATGTATGGAAGTGTGAGATACATTTTATCTGCCAGTCCTCAGCCCTACTTCTCCAGACCTATTTCCTCTTTGCTTTGGAAATTCAGGTTTGTTGTCCTCCCCCCGACCCCCCCACCCCATTTTTCTTCCAGCACTTGGAACTACAGCTTCTCCCAGCTACCTCAGTTTCTCAGTGGTTCCTGGTCAGAGTTTAGCACCCAGCCTGAGAACTTCTTGAAAGGCTGTAAGTGGTAAGTAAGGAAAATGGGGTAAGGAGATAACCACACCAAGATTTTCACCTTAAAACACTACATTAACTGGGAAAATATTCCACCAGAGGTAGGAGTGGGATTAAGAATCTCTTTTGGACTGAGTTTAAATTTCGTCTAGGATTGTCTCTTCTATTTCCATTAAGGTCTTGGGGGGGCTTACCTACTGCAAAAGTAGGCTCAGCCCTAGCTCTACACTTGGAAAACATAGTCTAGCTTTCTAACTCTTGCCTACTCCTAGGGCCCCTGATGGTTCCTGCATCTTGACCAATAGTGCTGATAACATCCTACGGATTTATAACCTGCCTCCAGAGCTGTACAACGAGGGAGAGCAGCTGGAATATGCAGAAATGGTAAGGGGAAGGGCTGTTTCAGCCCTTTATTGGACACTACACATTTAAGTCTTTCTTGTAGATGGAAAAAGTACAGTCCACGTGTTTCCCGTTCACAAACAGAACATTTCTTCACCACGAATTTCTATAGGTACTATTTTCCACCCTGAATTCTGAAGTCATTCGAGGAGATGTTTGTCGCTTCATTAGTCAGGAATATGTGTTTTCCATAAAAGAGTAGCAGATTTCTCATGGCGGTACTTAATTGACTTACAGATGTTTATTGAATGACTGCTAATATGTCTGATACTGTATTTGGTGCTGGGATAAAGTGGTAAATAAGACAGATAAGTAGGTTTGCTTTCTTGTTTGGCAGATAGACAACAAATAGGTAAACCAATAAATAATCAAGTTTATTACAGATTATGATAAATGCTATGAGGGAAATAAACAGAATGAGGAGAGACTAACTAGAGGATTCCACTTAGATAAAACGGCAAGGGAGGAGATCTCTGAAAAGGAGACATTTGAGCTAAGACCTGAAGGATTAAGAGATCTATCATCTGAAGAGGTGTAGAAAGAGCATTTCAGGAAGAGACAATGATCTTACAAAGACCCAGAGCTGGGAAAGAGCTTCCAGTCTTCAAGGAACAGAGAGAAGGCCAGTGTACCTGGGCTGTGGGCAGTAAGGGGGAAAGTGCTAAGGATGGAGAGGTAGCTAGTAGCCACACTGTGTTAGATCTTGTGAGTAGGGCATTTGGAATTTATTTGAGAAGTCATGGGGGAGTTTTAAAATAGAAGAGTTAAATGATGGCTGAAATTTAGACAGTGGGCAACAGTGAAATCAGGGAGACTCATTGGGATGTATTTTTCATAGTTCAGGTAAGAAATGATAGTGGCTTGGTCTAGGGCAATGTTAGGAGAGATGGAGAGATGTGGATGGATTTGAAGTATTATTTGATAGGACTTGGAGGTCAATTGGATATAGAGGTGCAGGGAAGGAAGCAAATCGAGGGTGATGTCCAAGTTTTTGTAGCTGGGTGGATAGTGGTATGACTCAGAGGAGGAAACAGATAAAAAGATACTGGGACGAGTTGAGCGTTTTTAAGTACATTAAATATGAAATGTAAAACTGAAGGGAGAAATTGAAGCTGGGGACATACTTTGAGAAGTGAGAGAGCTTATAGATGGTATCTTGTGGCTTGAGAACAGATTCAGATTCAGTCTTGGGAGAATGTAAATGGAGAAGAAGGCTCAAGCAGAGCCCTGAGCGTTCCAGCATATGGAGGTGGTATCTCAGGGCCAGGTGGGCATGGTACAGCCATCCTGAAAGAGTTCAGGAACAGAGGTGATTAGATGAGACTCTGGAAATATGAGAATTTATTGCATAAAGTCATGTAAGAGAAATGGGAATGTTAAAAAGGGAAAAAGTCATCATTACCCACTCCACAAAATTTAGACCTTTGAATTTTCTACATTCTTTCCAAGCTCTGTTCAAAAACTGAAGCTTTTTATATGGCTGTAATCCTATAGTAGGTGTTTTTGTAAACTGCTTTTTTTCTTTTTAATAATAATATTGTAAATGTTTTTCATGATGCTTCAGTCTTCATAGTTATCATGTTTAATAGTATGTGATATTGCACTTATTGCCTATGATAGGTAATTTTTTTACCTATTTCCCTGTTTTGGACATTTGGGTTGTTTCCAGGATTTTTATATATAAATTATTCAGTGAATATCTTAATGTGTTTTGATGGAGATTCTTTTCATAAGAGAAATTATATGAGTAAAAAATACTGTATGTCAGACAATATCAACATTTGTGTGTATCTTGTGAAAGATGGATCGTCAATTTGTTATCAAAGTTTTTTTAGAGTGCTGTTAGCATTGTGAGTATACCAGTTCTAGCCTAACCTCAAGCATTAGGTATTTTCATTTTTAAAATTTAAAATTTGGAAATGGATAAAATATATAGATGGAGAAATTAGGGGAGGACATTTTTTGGTTATTTCCGTACACCTGTGTGCTGCTGGTTCCCAACATAGTTTCCCAATAACTCTTCTCCTTTCTCTACCATTTCTGGAACTCCTATTCCTAACTGTACAGCCTCATCCCTGAGTAATCTTCCTCCCTTGTGGCTCTTGCCTGAGGCCTTTACTTCCTTCTAGTTCTTTTCAGGGTAGACTGTGCATCCTCTGTGCCCTATATATCTCAGGATAGTGGCCCTCATTCCCAAATTCTATGTCCAGACAATTGTTCTTTCTCTTTGTAAAAACTTTTTCTTTGAGGCTTATGCTTTCTGATTCTCCTGCTCACCAAGGACATTGGCACGTCATAGCCCTCCTGTGAACCTCAAGTTTTTCTACCATCTTTGTCACCCCAGGTATTCAAACCAAAAGTCAGGGTCTCATCCTTTATTCTTCCTTTTCCCTAACCCCCCACATCCAATTAATTACAAAATCCCATCAAGTCTACTTAATCTTTCTAATCTGCCTACTTTTCTCTACTTCATAACCTCTACTTTAATTCAGGGTCCTATGATTTTGGTCTTTATATTGCTGGAATAGTCTCCTGTCAATATTTGCTCATTAAAATACTAGGTGTTGGGAAACAGTGGTGAGCAAGACAGACATGGTTCCTGCCTTCTCAGATACGTATGATGCAGAGCGAGGAGCACAAAGGGCTATAGGAACATGGAGCAGAGCACCTTGCTCAGCTTAGGGGGTTAGGGAAGGCTTCCCAGTGGAAGAAGCATCTAAAAGACCTGAAAGATAATTAGGATTCAACCAGGAGAAGTTGTTGGGGGGAAGTGAAAGAAGAATATTCTGAACTTGAACACTAGTAAGTGTGAAAACTTGCAGGTTGAGAGTATGGTGAGTTGGTACCTTCCGAGAACTGAGAGCCAAAATGGGAGGATGTAGAGATTTTAAAGGAGTGAATACAGAGATATGAGCCATGAGAGGTGGATAGGAGGTTGATGCCTGGTGAAGGAAAGTTTTGTTAAGGAGATTGGGTTTTATACTGAGGGTTATATGGAGTCGTTGAAACATTTTAAGAAGGTGACACTGCACAGAATTTCAATTTAACAGGGTCTCTATAGGTCCTTGATGTGGCTGTAGTGTGAATAATGGATGGACAGGGTGGAGTGTGGGAGTGCAGGGAGTCTCAGAGAGCATGTAGAGCATTGCAGAAATGCTAGCAAGAAGGCAGTGGCTTCCTATGGAATGAAGGGGTGTGGACAGGTTCAGGAGAAACCTAGGAGGTGGAATTGGCAAGATTTGGTACTGGATTAGGCTGGGAGTAGCAAGGGAGTGAAGAATAGTAGTAGTTGAAAGCAGGTGCTCAGATTTCAGGCTTGAAAATTGACTGTGGAGCTCAGGAAGAACAGCAGGCTTAAAGGTGGCAGTTGCAGTTCCTTATGGACAACTTGAATTTGAGTTACCTGCAGGATGTCCAAGTGGAGCTTTCTACTAGGCAGTTGAATATATGAGTTTAGAGTAGAGAAGTGTAAACTGAATTTATGGCTGGATGACATCATTCTGAGGGCCAGCAAATAACTGACAAAGGACTGGTATCCAGTTGATTTAAAGATTTCCTTAAATCAGTAAGAAAAAGGCAGTCTAGTAGAAAAACAGACAAAAATTACAAAAAGTTGTACTTAAATTGCTAATAAACATAGATAAATGTCTAACCTCAGTAGAAATGAAGGAAATGCAAATTTACATCATAGTGAGATACCATTTCACAGACTTCAGAAATTGAGAAAATTTTTGGCAGTACCAATGGGATGCAGAGCAACAGGGACTCTCATGCTGTTGGTATGAGAGTGCATCGGATGAGCGCTGGAAAAAAACATGGCATTATTTAGCAGAGTTGGCAAAGTGCATACTGAGGAGCCCAGTAACTTCCCTCTTTAGCAGAAACTGCAGAGAAACCCTCCCACATGTGTATCAGAATGTTAAAAAGCACACTCGCCAAAAAAGTGGAAAAACATCAATGATTATCAGTACAGAAAGATAGGTGAGTGGAGTACTGTATAATAGTGAAAATGCATGAATAAGAGCTAAATGCGTCACCATGGTTAAATCTCAACAATTATAAAGAGATGCATACAGTGTGATACCATTGATAGGTTTAAAGGCATGCAGGAAAAGGTTGTACATTTTTTTTTCATCTCTATGACTATTCCTAAAGAAATATGTGAGAATGATAAATTCAGGAGAGTGTTTATCTCTGAGGGAATGTTTCATTGGGAAAAGGTTTTAACTGTTTTGTATAATATTTCATTTCTCAAGCTGGGTGGAGTCACAGGGTAGGTTTTCGTTTTTTGTTTTTAATACTTCCTTGCATGTTTGAACTGTTTAATAATTTCTTTAAAAACTCGAATGGTACCTAGTAGGTGCTCAGTAAATATGCATATCATTGGTTGGTTCTTTGTTTTTTCCTTTCTAAGTGTTTAAAAAGCCAAAGGATAAATCTGTATGGCTTTTGGTGGCCCAAATCTGACATTAGAGTCTACATTGACCCTTGAATATTGAGATCAAGATTCTGTTCTTCATATTAATCCCATCTGCCTTCTCCTGCCTGGGTTAAATGCCAACAGACAGTCTCCCTCTGCCGTAGAACTGCTGGAGGCCTGAGTCTGCCTCCTTCCCCTACCAATGACCCAGGCATTCCCAAATCTCTGTCCAGGCCCCTGTCCTTCGGATGGTCGAAGGTGACACCATCTATGATTACTGCTGGTATTCTCTGATGTCTTCAACCCAGCCAGAGACCTCCTAGTAAGTAATGTCCTTTGCCTCCCTTACCCACCGCCTCCTGCCCCCGCCATAACAGTTTCAAGGGGACCCTCTACTGAGAGAATCAAGGGCTTCCCAGGGGTCTTGGGAGGAAAACGTGGTGCGCCCTTCAGATGCGAGCTGAGAGGGCTGGTTAGTTGGCTTCCTCCCCTTCCTTTGACAGCACTGGGCCCTCAGTGTTCATGTCTCTCTCAGCGTGGCCAGCAGCAGCCGGGAGAACCCCATTCACATCTGGGACGCATTCACTGGAGAGCTCCAGGCTTCCTTTCGCGCCTACAACCACCTGGTAGGGACCTTCTGCCCAGCCCCAGGGCTCGTCCTGGCCCAGCTTTCCTTCCTTGAGGATGGCTGAGGCTTTGCTAGTCCTGTTTTTAGCTCTTTCTTTCCCCTAGGATGAGCTGACGGCAGCCCACTCGCTTTGCTTCTCCCCGGATGGCTCCCAGCTTTTCTGTGGCTTCAACCGAACTGTGCGTGTCTTCTCCACAGCCAGGCCCGGCCGTGACTGTGAGGTCCGAGCCACATTTGGTAAGCATCTGTGCCTCCAAAGGAGGAGGAAAGATGAGGTTACTTCCACGTGCAGATGGCCTTGTGTGAGCCAAGGGGCCACATGTCAGAGATCACATCCTCCTCTGTACAGCACTGAGCGGTAGGCAGTGCCCAGTGGGCAGAAGAGAAAACAGACTCAGGTAGGGGATGCAACTTTTCCAAGGTCAACCTGCTGATTGAAGAGCTGGTTCACTCCTGAGCCCAGGTCTTTCGGCTATATACCTTTTGGTCTCCAAAATCTTGGTATCTCTAGGAAATTGGAGCTGAAGCTGATTCCATTTTCCTATAAGCCTTCAGCTTTCTATCTCTTCCAGGAAAAACAGATTTGAGAGGAAAGAAGTAGGTCTTGGGCATTTAGGTCCTTTGGGAAGATAGAAGGATCTGGGGAGTATCAGAGGTCTCCATCCTGTTTGTGACAAATGAGATGTGACACGTGAGTCCCGACACATGGGCTCTGGAACAGAAGATAGAATTGCACCTCTGATTAGACTAATTAATGTTAGGTGCCGTTGCCCCTCCACCACTTTGTTCCTTCCCTTTTTAGCAAAAAAGCAGGGTCAGAGTGGCATCATCTCCTGCATAGCCTTCAGCCCAGCTCAGCCCCTCTATGCCTGTGGCTCCTACAGCCGCTCTCTGGGTCTGTATGCCTGGGATGATGGCTCTCCTCTCGCCTTGCTGGGAGGGCACCAAGGGGGCATCACCCATCTCTGCTTTCACCCCGATGGCAACCGCTTCTTCTCAGGAGCCCGCAAGGTAGGGGTCATGTCCTGAGATCCCAAAGGGCAGTATGCAGGAGTGGGAATGTAGTCAGATACGTTTTGGGTTTAGACATGGGGGAAAAACCAACTCAATCTAAAGGAATGCCTATAAACCTTGAGAGAAGCAGGGATGTCTTGTGGGGAGGGGTGGTAGTGGTGAAGAGTGGACTCCAGGCTCCTTTTCTGTGTCTTCAGGATGCTGAGCTTCTGTGCTGGGATCTCCGGCAGCCTGGTCATCTATTGTGGTCCCTGAGTCGGGAAGTGACCACCAATCAGCGGATCTACTTTGATCTGGATCCGTGAGTGACCATGGGTCCTTCCTGCCCAGGGCCCCAATTCCCACAGGGGTGCCCACCTATAGCCCAGATCCTAGCCCCTGGTTGTGAGGGGTTCTTGCCTTATAATGGTGACTTAATGCCAGCAAGCCTCTGCTCTCTTCCCCCAGGACTGGGCAGTTTCTAGTGAGCGGCAGCACTAGTGGGGCCGTCTCTGTGTGGGACACCAGCAGAGCTGGGCATGAGGGGAAGCCGGAGCCAGTGCTGAGTTTTCTGCCCCAGAAGGACTGCACCAATGGAGTGAGGTCATCAGTTAATGCTACAGATCTTGGGGCTTGGGTTGGGGAGGAAGGTGAATTGCTGAGGGAGCAAGCATCCTCTCTCAGGGTACTGATAGACCCTGCTGGTCTCTCCTTCCAGCCTGCACCCTAGCCTGCCTCTGCTGGCCACTGCCTCTGGTCAGCGTGTGTTTCCGGAGCCCACGGAGAGTGGGGACGAAGAGGAGCAGGGTGTGGACCTTCCCCTGCTCTCCATGCGCCACACCCACCTTGAGTGTCAGCTTCAACTCTGGTGGTGTGGGGGGAGCCCAGACACCAGTAACCCTGATGCTCATTAGGGTGAGAAGGGACAGACGGAGGTGGGGATGAGTTTATATAAAAAGGTTTTTATATGTACTAGCGTCTTTGTGTCTGTTTGGAGAGGCAAATGATGGAGATGGGGGCCAGGAGGGGTACTTGTGGGCTCCCTTGTCCAGCAGCAGTTGGGACTGGCATATTGTTTCTGGAACCAGGATAGAGGTGGGACTAGGCTGGAGCCAATGGGACTGCTGAGCTTGGTGTGAAGTCAAGTGCGTGGGGGGTGGGGCTTCATGCCATTGACTGGTTGGTTGCCAGGCAACTTGGTAAACTGAAGGGGAGAGCCTGTTTGAAATCTCACTCCCAAGGTTGGGGTGGCAGGGGTCAAAGTGAGCCCTGGCTGAGCAAGAGTGGCAGGAGCTGTGTGTCAGACTGTTGGGTGTGACCGTGTGAGACTGTGCAGACAGTGACAGACAAGACACCCGCTCACTTGCGCTCAACACTGTTTACCATCATCCAGCAGCAGAGGGACCATTACTCAGCTCTGGGGGAAGGGAAGCAGGAGCACCCGCTTCCCCTTTCCTGGACTCCCCCAGGAGGCTGGTGACTGAGTAGCTAGAGTCAAGGACACATGAAAGAGTAAAGGTGCTGAAAAACAGACTCAATTCTGTATTCCCCGTTAGATGCTGGACAAGGGCGAGAGTCTCATTCAGCAGCTGTCACTGGTCTTATTTCTCCATATATCTTCTGTCTTTGGGGTGGAGGGGGGATGTTATTTCAAGCAGAGACTCCTCCCACAAACATACCTTGCCAAACACTAAGGGTGGTGGGGGGGGGCTCTGAATAGATACTGTCAGCAAGGGATTTGATTTTGGACCTCATAATCAAAGGGAAGAGACTGAAGGCCTGTGGCAGCTCAATCAGAGAGGAATGTCACTGCCCAGGGGTGCTGAAAGCTAGGGTTCTTACACCCAAAAAGGCAAACCCCTCTCCCTTCCCCTAGGATAATTGGAAACAGCTCTTCCAGCTGAATGTGGGTATTGGGTTGTAGGTACTCCCTTTCTTCTCTCAGCCCCATTTCTCCCTACAACCATCCAAGAAGGGCCCAAGTTTACCCCCTTGATCTCGCTTTTCACCCAGCTCCCAGATAGCAGTAAAATGTACAGGAAGCTGTGAAAAGAGACCCCAGGAGTGGGAGTTCAGCAACCCGAGTTTAGTTCCTGGCTTTATCCTCGACATGCTGTATGACCTTGGGCAAGTTCTGGGGCCTCGCTGAGCCTCAGTTTCTTCATCACTACAATGGGGATACTTTAGCCCCGCCCCTCCCACCTCACACAGATAGTCGTAACAATCAACTCAGCTCACTTGGTAAAGTGTGAAGCCTTCAAGGTTATTCTCTCCAGATCTCCCTGGAGCAGTGTTGTTGTTGTTTTTTGGGGGTGGGGGGACTCTAAGGCAGCGAGTGCGAAACGGGCTGGGATCCTGGGATGGAAAGGGCGAGATCCTTCTGGATCCTCTCGGAGGAAGATTACGAGCGCTCCGCGATGCGAGGGCAGAAGGGGAGACCAGCAGAAACTAAGCCAGGGACAAGTCTCAGAGACAAAGGGGGCATGACAGACCACGCCAGGGAGCAAGGATGGTCGGCAGGGTGAGGCAGTGGGAGGTGTGCGAGGTGAGGGAGGTGTGGGGGCGTGGGCTGCGGGATCCTGCTGCCCGCTCCTCAAGCTCCAGCTCCGGTTTTTCCCTCCGTCATCCTTTCCCCCTCCCCGCCTCTCCTTTAACTCCCCCTCCCGGGTTTGGGACTGGTTTCCTCCCTTAGCCCGCTGCCCTCAATCCCGGCGGGGCTGGGGCTCCGTCTCGGTGCCCCCTTCTTCTCTCCCTCGTCCGGCGCCCCATGCCATTCCTGCCGAGTCCCCAGCTCCCCAAGTCCCCGACTTACGCCCGTTCACCAACACCGTGGTGCTGGAGCCTGGGCCGGGTCGTAGGGCGCCTGCAGACCGCCCCTGGAAGGGCTCTTGCAGGCTGAGCGCTCCGGAGTGGGACACCGGCAGAGCAAGAAGCGGGTCCTCGTAGGAGCGGGGCGGGTGGGGCGTCAGCCACCCGGGAGGTCGGGCAGAATAGCCGGGGCAGCTAAGGCAGTCACCCCAGGGGGTGAGCGACTTTGGAGGAGTTGGTGCCCCGCCCCCCAGGCCTTGGCGGGGTCATGGGGGCCCCCCATTCTAGGCCGGGGGGAGTGCGAGTCAAGGCCCTGCTGCTGCTCGGTTTTTGGGGGCTGGTGTCTGGGCTCAGCCTGGAGCCTGTCTACTGGAATTCGGCGAATAAGAGGTGAGTGGTTCGGGCTGGGGAGACCCCACTTCCTCCGGGCAGGTAGGGCGGAAAGCTTTGGGGACTTTGGGGGTTGCGTTCTCTGAGCTGGGAAGAGGCTTGAAGGAGGGTGCTGGTGTTCTGCTGGGAGCTGATGGGTAACTAGATGGAGGTGATCTTGGGAGCCAGACTCCTGAGTTGCACACAGAGCCGGATGTGGGTGGTGATATTCAGGTGTTGAGAGTTTGAAGGACCCCAAAGGGCAAGGATATGAAAGTTCATGGGAAGCGGGGAGGGCAGTGGAGTGGTTATGTGGGTTTGTGGGAGACTTGCTTGGTGTCGGGGGCTGGGCTTGAAGGGAGCCTGGTTAATGTCAGCTCTCAGGAGAGCAGCTGAGTAGGTGCTGCTGAAGCGTTGAGGGGAAGGGCAGGGTGCCTCTCTCCCTAGAAGGGACTCAGTGTTGGAGATGGGAGGGAAGGGGGCTCAGTTTAGGGGCTCTAGAGACAACTCCCCCAAGGCATCTTGACTCATCACACAGTGGGTCTCTCAACTCTTGCCCACAGCCAGAGGGTCAATCAGCTCTTGGTGGAACAATTCTCAACCAAAAGATATTCCTGTGTTTCCGGCTTGGGGACTTCTTTCTGGAAGAAGCCTGGAACCCCCTACAGCCTCTGCTTTTGCCCTCTTGCATCTGGAGTCCTGAGGTCTCCATTGCTTCCTCCCCCATCTTTGCTGCAAACTCTTCCATCAGACCAGACCTTCTGTTCAGCGGCATGCTTGCTTTGCTCTGAAAAAAGGCCAGGGGTCAAATGAAACTTCAAGCCACACAGAGTAGGACAGGACCCATGGAAGGTCATCTGGGTCCTTTGCCTCCATGCAGATCCCACTCCCCATTAGCAAATGAGTTCTGTGTTTTGAAAAATTCCTACTTCCCTGAGGCAGCTATGTGAAGCCATGGGAAGAGGGTGGGCTTTGGAGCTCCTCAAATCCTAAAGACTTAATCCTAGCTCCGCTTCTTTCAACTGTGAAGCTTTGGGCACATAACCCCCTACAGCCTCTGCTTTTGCCCTCTTGCATCTGGAGTCCTGAGGTCTCCATTGCTTCCTCCCCCATCTTTGCTGCAAACTCTTCCATCAGACCAGACCTTCTGTTCAGCGGCATGCTTGCTTTGCTCTGAAAAAAGGCCAGGGGTCAAATGAAACTTCAAGCCACACAGAGTAGGACAGGACCCATGGAAGGTCATCTGGGTCCTTTGCCTCCATGCAGATCCCACTCCCCATTAGCAAATGAGTTCTGTGTTTTGAAAAATTCCTACTTCCCTGAGGCAGCTATGTGAAGCCATGGGAAGGGTGGGCTTTGGAGCTCATCAAATCCTAAAGTCTTAATCCTAGCTCAGCTTCTTTCAACTGTGTGGCTTTGGGCACATTACTTAACCTTTCTGAGTTTGTAGCCTCAATCCTTACAGCTTTTATGAGGATTAGAGGTAAGGTATTGGAACATATTATATGCTCATTAGAGGAGAACTAGGATTATTGCCCTTCCTCTCTGTACTTAACAGCCTCCGTCACATTTCCCTCTTCTAGCCTCCCTCCCATATACATCTCTTTGGGTATAACCTCAACTGTCTTTTCTCTATTCATTCTCTATTCATTCTCCTACCTGTCAACTCCCAGCTGCAGTTTGAGTATCAAGTGTAGCTTGAGGACATTAGGCTTATTCTGACAGAGTTAAGAAAAGGGGATTAAGGTGTTCTAGGGGCTCTTTGGAATGTTGGATGGGAAGGAATGGGTCATTTGGGAATCTGGGAAGATACTGAGCAACAGTCCCCTGGGACCCAGTTCTGAGCCCCTGTCTGCTGTTAAAGCACAGGGAGGGGCTGCAGTCATTGGCAATAGTGGCTTTGCTGGGTCAGTGGATGCCTGGGCCGAGGGAGATGGGCCATGGGCTTGTATTGGCTGTAGTTAGAAGAGTCAGCTCCTTCAATTTCAAAGCAATAGGGGCACTTTCCCTAGTAAGTCTGAGACCTGGGAGAGAAGGGGTACTGAGCAGGAAAATGTTTGGGGCACCTGGCCTCCAGACCCTGGTTCCGATTAGCCCCATTTAGGGCCATTGCCAGACCAGGCATTTGCCTCCTGTCATGTCGCCTTGCTAACTTGGGACACTGATCAAGATCACTCTTGACCCCGACATCTCTGCCTTGAAATCCCTGAAATTCGGTGGTGGCCTGGGGGAGGAGAGGCTCTGCCCCCATGGTTGACTGCCATGGAATAGTGAAATCACCTGGGAGGGGTGGGCTGTGTGGTTCCAGAGAGGCCAGCTCCTTGGTAACTGGCATCCTGTTGCCATGGCAACAGGGCTGGTGATGGAGCAAGAGATGGCAGTGTGCATGTGGTGAGGGCGGGCTGAAGAGTGCATTTGGGCACACCAAGGGGCAGGAGACCTCTGAGCCTGG